TTTTACCTGTAAACTAAGAACAATCATATTACTTACTTAACAGGAATATTTTGAAGGTCATATTATTTCAGAAAAGTGCCTCATTTATGGAAAATCTTAGTAAATACTAGTTGGTTAAATTTTAGTGGGTGATAGACAAAGCCTTCAGGATGCTATAAAATACCTTTGAGTTAAGAGTTTTTGTCAACTATAGGGGCACCTGGTTGGCTCAGTTGGTTGAGGGTTGGACTCTTGATTTTGGCTCAGGTCATAATCTCACAGTTTGTAAGTTTGAACCTCTCATCGGGCTCTGCTCTAACAGTGTGGAGCCTGCTTTAGATTCTCTCTCTCCCTTTCTCACTATCTCTCCCTCTTTCTCTCTCTCAAAGTAAATTTTAAAAATGAAAAAAAGAGCTTCTGTCAACTATATTCAAACAAAAATAAATAAAATAGGCGCTCCTGAGTGACTCAGTCGGTTAAGTGTCCGACTTCAGCTCAGGTCATGATCTCGTGGTCTGTGAGTTCAAACTCACCAGTTTCTGTGGTGACAGCTCAGAGCCTGGAGGCTGCTTTGGATTCTGTATCTCCCTCTCTCTTTACCTGTGCCTTGCTGGTGCTCTCTCTCTCTCAAAAAATTAACATTAAATTTTTTTTAAAAATAAGCACCATAAGAACAATATTTAAAGGGGGAAAAGGAGTTAAGAGTTTTTTAGAAGGAAGAGTTAGTAAAAACAAAATAAGCATTCAATAGTCATTAGGCAATGTCATTAGGCAATGACTAGTCATTCGGCAAAGTCAACAGGACTTTAGGCAGTCTTGAAGGGATGAAGCCTGACAGTGATCATCTCTCGTAGGTCACCTCCTTCCTGGTTACACTCTAATAACTCACAGTTCATACTTATCTCACTGTGGCATTACCCAGGGTTTAGAGTAAGTAGAAAATTTAGCTTCTGTCTCTTCCTGAAATTTCTCTCAAAAATGTGCAGAGACTTGGCCTCTACTATCTTTCTTCTTCGTTTCTTTCATTCATTCCATAGGGATTTATTAAGCGCCTATCATCTATATGGCAACCTGCAATGGTTACATTCAACAGGAAAAACCATGGGTAACCCAGAAACAGATTCTCATACTATTATTATTTTTTTATATTTAAAAAATTTTTAATGTTACTTTTGACACAGAAACACAGAGCACAAGCAGGGGAAGGACAGAAGAGAGATGGAGACACAGAATCCGAAGAGGCTCTAGATGCTGAGCTGTCAGCACAGAGCCTGACGCAGGGCTCAAAGCCACAAGCCCTGAGATCATGACCCGAGTGTAAGTCAGAGCTCAACTGACTGAGCCACCCAGGCACCCCTATTGTTTTTATGTTTTTAAAGTAAACACTACACCAAACATGGGCTTGAACTCATTCATGACCCTGAAATCAAGTGTCGAATGCTCCACCAACTAAGCCCACCAGGCGCCCCAAAGTCTTTCCATTTTTTTTTTAAATGTTTTTTTTAATTTATTTCGGGGAGAGAGAGAGAGAGAGAGCGTGAGCAGGGGAGGGTCAGAGAGAGAGGGAGTCACAGACTCTCAAACAGGCTCCAGGCTCTGAGCTGACAGTCAGCACAGAGCCCGACGTGGGGCTCGAACCCACGAACCGCGAGATCATGACCTAAGCGAAAGTCAGACGCTTAACCGACTAAGCCACCCAGGCACCCCAAAGTCTTTCCATTTTTATGTAAATTCTGAAAGAAACCATACACAGGACTTTTTAAATTAAAAAATGTCTCTTTCTAAGATATTCTTTTCAATATATCCCTTATTTGAAAGCTGACAATATTGAAATAACAGCAAAAGAAAAGCAATAAAATTTTATCCTGTTGTGGTTTATTTTATCAATACTGTACATTTGTGAATGGCAGTGAATTAGAAGCTCTCTTCTTTTGGTTTTTTTTTTTTTTTTTGGTTTTATTTATTTGTGAGACAGAGAAAGACAGAGCACGAGTGGGGGAGGGGCAGAGAGAGAGGGAGACACAGAATCTCTGCTCTGATGCTCCAGGCTCTGAGCTGTCAGCAGAGAACCCAATGCGGGACTGGAACCCACTAACCATGAGATCATGACCTGAATCAAAGTCGTAAGCTCAGGTGACTGAACCACGCAGACGTCCCTGCGTATGATTCTTCTTTCTACCTGAGGGTGGAACATAATTGAGAATTTGGCTTTTTTTTTATTGATTTTTTCATGGGTCTGTTCCTTTTTTCTAAAGAATAGCCCAATTCTCAAATGTTTTAGAGTATGCTCCAATCTACTGCCAGTGTTGCCTCTAAAATCTCTTTCAGGGTGGTGCACCTGGGTGGCTCAATTGAGCATCAGACTCTTGACTTCGTCTCAGGTCATAATCTCACAGTTCATGGGTTTGAACCCAGCGTTGGGCTCTGTGCTGACTGTGAAGCCTACTTGGGATTCTCTCTCTCTTCCTCTCTTTCTGCCCCTCCTTCTCTCTCACATGTACCCTCTCAAAATAAATAAAAATAAATAAAAGCTCTTTGAGGGAAGGCAGAAGATCATCAAATATCTCTATCCTTTCTGGGGCTCAGGCACAATGGGACTTTTGGCTTAGAAATTGTCCTATCTTGGGGCGCCTGGGTGGCTCAGTTGTTTGGGCGTCAGACTTAGGCTCAGGTCATGATCTCACGGTTCACGGGTTCAAGCCTTGCATCGGGCTCTGTGCTGACAGCTAGCTCAGAGCCTGGAGACTGCTTCAGATTCTGTATCTCATTCTCTCTCTGACCCTCCCTTGCTCACGCTGTCTCTCTCTGTCTCTCAGAAATAAATAAAACATAAAAAAAAAAAAAAAAAGAAATTGTCCTATCTTGAACCCTTGGGTCCCTGGGTCAGACACGCTCAGCAACCAGCCCAGGAATTCTCTGTCTGGGCTGACCTTGGACTGCCTCCTAGGGCCCCATAAGTAGCCCTCTGCAGTTTGAATCAGGCCAGCTCAACATCCTTCCCAGGCTGGTGGGTTTGTTCTGGGATGGCTGAAAGTCTTTAAACCCACTCTGGGAGAGGACATCTTCCTTCCCCCTGGGGACTTCCTTTTGTGAAACGGATGAAAATGGGCTAAGAAAATTATCTCAGAGTGACTTCCTCTGATAAAAGCAAGTAGAGGCTTCTTGTGCTGGCTGTGCTAGTTGCCCCCTACCCCAACCACAGCCCAGAACCCACTACCTGTCTTCCCTGCCCAATCTCTGGGTCCTGTACTAGGTTCCAGACTCACTTGCCCTATGGCTTCCAGCTGGGTTTGGCCACTGGGAGGCACTTCCAGGAGAATGAAGGTGGCTGGAGAGAGAGGTCAGGGTATTTCTTCCAACTGCTGTCTCCTTGGCAGTGAGGTGGTTCTGGTAATGGTTGATTCCTCATCAGCTCTAGTTCCTGCTTTGTGCCCCCTGTCCAGTACTCTAGCTCCTTCCTTTACTCCTACTCATTTCAGGCTAATAAACCCTTCCCACTGTTGCTAATCCCTGTGTTGACTCTCTGAACTCTGCCCATGCCCCTGTACTTAAGCCCCTTAACCTAAATCTTTCTAGAAGTTAAAAATCTTTGCAGGTGCCATCTGTTTTCCTCCTGAGAAGGACCCTAACTGATACAGTCATATCAAGTTATGTCGCCTCCACTTGGAAAATCTGAAGACCCCAGTTAGAAGCAGCCGTCTCCTAGGTGTCTACATTCACCTTCAACATGCACAACTACTATAAAATCCAGAATATGAGTCATGGTTTGCTAGATTGAGAGTTATTCCAGGTAAGGGACACTGTTCTGAGCATAGGTGGATCCAGCCCCCACCCCCCTTCACTTAGCCCAGCCCCTGGCATATAGTAGGTGCTCAATAAATGTTTCTGACAGAGGCAGCACCCTTGGGCCCCAAGAGCCTCCAGTCTCAGCTTCCTCCCTCCCCCCCTACACCACCTTCGGCTGCACCTGTAGGATCTGGATCACCATGCTGGCCAGCTGGTTTATTTCTTATTGTGCTTGACGGAAGGAAGTTCTCCACGTGATTTTTGCAGTATCCAGAAAGGGTGGGTACAGTATGTCCTGTGGTAAAAAGCTTGTGGAGAAATGCAGGTTTTAGTTTCACCCCCACACTGTTGCTATTCTTACGTGGGAGTGCTCCCCTCATCCCCCCAAGCCTTGAAACATTTTACTTTGAGATGTGCGATTACAGTCTATGAAACAATGAGCCAGGAGGTGGTCATGAATAGCCCAAGTATGTTGTACACCTGCGACCTATTCCCAAAGGCTGCAGAGGAATTATTATTTAGTCTAGGCAGCCATGAGGCATGTTTCATTTAAGAATGTAAATGTAAGAAACATTTACGTCTGGGTAGGCCTGATTTTTTTTATATTCTTGGTGGGAAGCCCTTTGAACCATAAACGCACACTGAAAGGCAACTGCTATGGAGCCTGAACCTCTGCACTGCATTCTCGGGAGTTTTCTTCTCTGGGAGCTTCAGCTTGTGTCCTAGGCACGCTGCTCTGGGTGGGCGCCTGGGCCGTGCAGTGCTGGGGGGAGGGGGGAGGCAGCCCGCTTGCGACTGGAATCCTCCCCAGGACTGAAAGCTAGAGAAAGCCACCCAAGATAGGGGGTGTGTGTCGGAGGTGGGTGGGGAGTAGGTTCTTAGGGTGCGCAGGCCCCCAGCTCTCTGGCCTGTGCGGGGACCACGTGCAGGAGGAGCGCGTGGGGGCCCCTGGCGCGCAGCCGCGGTGGGTGACTGCGCAGCGTCCCAGGGCCCGGGGTACCCGGCGTGTGCCACCCGGCGTTTCTGGTTAGGTGGAGGGCTCCGCGCCGCCCTCCCCCCCGCCCCCCCGCGCCGGCTGTGTGTGCGGCCTCAGCCCAGCGCCCCGCCGAGCGGTGCCAGAACCCGGGAAAGCGCGCGCGCACCCGTGCGGGAGTGTGTGTGTGTGTGTGTGTGTGTGTGTGTGTGTGTGTCAGTGTGTGTCAGGTGACTTGGGTCACGCAGTCTCTCTCTCCCTCCTCAGGGAGGAACTGCCGCGCTCCGGCTGACTCCTCCGCCGGCAGGCGGGCGGGGCGGGGAAGGGGGCTCCGGGCGCGGTGGGAACCGCGAGACCCAGACCTGGACGCCGACCGCCGCGGGGGGCGCGCGGCCCTGCCTCCGCGGGCTCCCGCGAGCCTCCAGACAAAACCCCAATTCAGAAAGAGGTTGCGAGCGGCAGGCGAGGAGGTCTGACCCCCGCCAGGGTCCCCCCCGCCCCCGGGACGGCCGGCCTTGGGAGCGATGAGCCAGGTGCTGGGGAAGCCGCAGCCGGAGGAAGGCGACGACGACGAGGAGGATGAGCTGGTGGGGCTAGCTGACTACCGGGACGGGCCCGACTCCTCGGACGCCGACCCCGACAGCGAGGCGGAGGAGGGAGGTGAGCGCCGAGTCTCCAGCCCGGCCCCGCGCCCCGCGCGTCCTCAGCCCACACCCCGTCCCCTCCCTCTGTGTCTCCCAGCCCCCCGCCAGACCAGACGCGCGGGCCACCGACCTGGAGGGGGTCCAGGAGCGCGGAGTTGAGGAGTGGGGGTGGGGAGGGGCGCCCGGGGAGCGACCGCGGGCTGCAAAATGGGGGATCACGGGTGCAGGCGGCGGAAGGGGGGACCCGGATTTGTGGGGGAAAGCAGAGAAGAGGCATCTAGGCAGGAAGAACGTATGCTGTCTGTCCCCTTCCAGGGCCAGTGTCTCCCCCACCTCTCAGCCCGAGCTCTCCGCAGGGTCTGGGGGTTGGGAAGGGGAGGGGACCGCCTGGCGCGTCCTGGGATCTCTTCCTGAATGCTGCTGTGGAAGCCTGGTCAGATGTCGTGGCTAAAAAAGGCAGCCGGCGGCAGCGTGACTGGCAGGGTCGTCGGCAGCTGCGGGTGTCAGTCTTACCCCGTATCGTCGCGGGAGGGGTCCTTAGGCTGCCCAGGTCTGTGGCCTGGGGGCATCCGTGGAGCCGCGGGGGGATGCGCGCAGGTGATGTGGGAGTCGCCGAGTGGCCGCGAGTTTCCGAGGATCCAGGCAAATACGGTTGTTAGGACACCTTATCTCTGCTCGGTGTCACCACCTGGGCATGGCGGTGCCTGCCCTGGAGTGAGCGCGGGGCGGGGGAAGTCGTTGTGGCTCAGAAGCAAACTCTGTTTCCTGTTTAAGAAGCGGTATTTAGTAATTGTTCAGCCTGTGGGGGTTCCTGCATTTAATTCTTAGGGTCTAAGGAAGTTGAGAGTTTTTAGGATTCCAGAAAGGTTTGTCTTTTTTGTTTGCCTCCAAAGCAAGGGAAAAGTTCTCTATTGTAAGATCACTTGGAAAGGTCAATAGAATGAGACTGTTAACATCTAGATGAAGCTCTATGCTTCCAAAAGAGGGAACTAACTTCTAAACATTTCACTTTGAGGATGTTGTGTGAGGGATAGAACTACCTTTGTGACTGTTGATTTGGAAGAACTTTTATTGAAAAGTCATTGAACTTATTTTAAAATTCCTATGCAAAGCCTTTTCCCAGAGGACAGTTTCCATTTTTTGATGTACCATGGGTGCTATTTTCAATCAATCAGAAAGGGAAGAAAGTTTAAAAGGAGGGGGGGTTGAAGTTAAGTAAGCCTTGAGCCTGAAAGATTAGAAGGAAGCTTTCTAAGTCACGCTTTTTCATAGCCTCCTGTCTCCAGAGAGGGTTTGTGCTAATTCCCCATTTGCTTAAATTGGTGTGTGCACCTGTGTGCTTCTTTCTTCTGCACTCCCCATAATTGGTCCCATAGTTGAGCTTGCCGCCACGTTTTTGTAGATAAAGGCTTTCAGCCCTTTTGTTGGAATCTCTAGGGCTACCTTTGGTAATTAAATTGTTCAGTCGCTTTGTTATTATTCAAATTGCTTTCATTAGCTCCTCCTAGTTTCTTAGAAGACTCCGGAGATTCTAGATGGGGATGTATTTGCAAGATATTTGAAATGGTAGACACACAATAGGGTGCATGTGTGATACTCTTTTTAAAAAAGAAAAGAGGCTATATCTGGGAAGAAAAGCCCTGTAATTCGATATTGTCCTGGGGACCTGAGAGGTTCCATGGAAAGTACCGGGCCTGCTTATTTATTCTGCAGTTCTTTAAGGGGGCACTTTTAAAATTTGATTTGAGGACTTGAAATCGAAATGAAAATAAAGCTTTGCCTGAAGGGTGGGATTTCCTGAACAAAGGGCTTCCCCAGAGCCTGGTCTTGAATGCTCCCCACTGCTCCTAACCTAAAGGCAAACTCGTCTGTAACTGATGCTTTTCATTACTTCAGCAATAAAATCATCCCTCGTGAGTTCTTGGGATCAACCTGGAATCTTACTATAAAAGCATTGAGTCTACTTACGTGGTTAGAGGAGCAATAAATGAATATTTGCTCTTGCAAACATTACTGAAGCTAGGTCTTTCTCCCTCTGGGCCTACTGTGATAGGTGGTCTGTTCTCAGAAACTTCCTGTATTATCTCAGGTTCCTGTTCTTTCGGCTTTGATTTTGGGATTTAGGCCCGACTGCAGAATCACTGTCAGAACATTCACTTTCTAGAGTGGCAGATAAAGGTCCTCAGTCAGCAGTTCTGGCAACAATTATCCCTGACAGTGTCATACCAGCTGATATGGTCCTGAGGAGTCGAGATGAGGGTGGAGCCCAGGACTTGTGACTTCCCTTTCTGGGACCTCAGTGTGCCACCAAAGAGTCATCCCAATTTCTAATGGGCCCTGGGCACATGTTGCGTTAGAATCCTGTGTTATTTCTGGTAAATTACGTTTACCTACTCTGTAAGAAATGAACTGTGGGGGGAAAGGGACTTTTTTAACTCTGAGGAAAAGTGAATATGGTATATTTTGAATCATGAACAAAGCGTTTCTCTAATGAACCCCTTTCCCTCTTTACCTTATTAATGGACTTTATTTAATGCCTTTGCTTAGTAGACACCTGGGGCTCCCCTCTCCCACCACTCCCCCAATCTGAGGTTCAGAAATCTCCCCTGGTAGGTGGCATGCAGAACTGACTAGCGTCACTAGGTAAGCTGCAAAGCAGTTTATCAGGAGCTGTGCAAAAGAAGGTAGATTGAAGGTGGAGAATGGGAATTTCATTTCCTCTAGTTTGGGAAGGGACTTCTGCTTTGATTTTAAGACGAGAACCTTGTAAGTTTTACTACATTGTGCTATGCACTTCTCCGGCTTGCACTCCAAATTTTACTCATGAAAAGCAGGAGTGTTCTGGGGCACTCTAGTTCTGTTAAAGACAGATTTGGGCACCTCTCTACCTCCCTTTGAGGGTTGTTAATCCGAGAATAGGTGAGTCTCACCTTCAACCTCCAGCTCCAGATAGAACTCCAGAGAATGGAAACAATCAATAAGCCATTAAAAACAATTGCAGCAGGGGCGCCCGGGTGGTTTAGTCGGTTAAGCGTCCGACTTTCGCTTGGGTCATGATCTCACGGTTCGTGGATTCGAGCCCCGCGTCGGGCTCTGTGCTGACTGCCAGCTCAGAGCCTGGAGCCTGTTTCAGTCTGTGACTCCCTCTCTCTTTGACCCTCCCCTGCTCACGCTGTCTCTCTCTCTCCTAGAAATAAATAAAACATTAAAAAAAATTAAAAAAAAAACAATTGCAGCAAAAATGATTTTTAGACACATGGAGTTTAAGTCTTTAGTAAATTACTGTGCTTTAAACCTTAGTAAATTACTGTGCTTTAAACCCGGCAGTAACATGTGGCACCTGGGTGGCTTCGTCAGTTGAGGGTTGAGCGTCCAACTCTTGATTTGGGCTCAGGTCATGATCACAGTGAGTTCAGTCCCTGCTTCAGAGAATCCTTGGGATTCTCTCTCTCCCTCTCTCTCTGCCCCTCCCTTGCTTATTCTCTCTCTCAAAATAAATAAACTGAAAAAAACTATAATAAGGAAAGCAGGGAAAATATCATATTTAATCAGAAAGTGAAATTGTTTTCTTCAAGTCTCTCCCAGTTTTTAGGAGAAAGACATTTTACTTGGCTAAGACAGCTGCTCTTCCATCGCCCAGCTAAGTGTGTGTGGTCTTATTTCTATGGCAGCCTGTGAAGTCTCTTAGGGTCTGAGCAAGTGACAGTTTAGGTGGTTACTGGAGGCATGAAAAATCCACCGGTCAGCAGGTGACACTTCTGTGATGACTCTAAGTGCCGTGAAACCACCTGTTTGCATCTATTAATCATGAGTGTCAGCTTTTTTTTTTCTTAAAGTAATTTAAAAGTTATTAATGAATTCATCCTCTCACTGTTCCTTGAGAGTCAGTGGAGATAGATCATTGTTCTCATGATATGAGACTGTGGCTCAGGAGTTTTCTACAGCGTGAGCTAGACCTGAGCAAGGTTTAGGAGAGAGAAAAGTTCAGGGATATGTAATCCCTTTCCTTGTAGTGCTACCTTGTCCCAAAAGAGATGGGTTGACCCCAGCCCTGGCTATGCCTCATCTCTTGGGTTTTTTCTCTCTGGCCCTGGAAATACAGAGACACAGAAGAGTTGGAATAGATGAAATAGAGAATAGTTAAAAATGATGCTATCAAAGTCACACCTTAGGCACAATGCTTTTTTTGAATACATGTATTTAGAGAGAGTATTTTTAAAAACGTTTTAATTAAATTTTAATGTTTATTTTTCTGAAAGAGAGAGAGAAACAGAATGCAAGCAAGGGAGGGGCAGAGAGAGGGAGTCACAGAAACTGAAGCAGGCTCCAGGACTCTGAGCTGTCAGCACAGAGCCCTTCATGGGGCTCGAACCCACAAACGGCGAGATCATGACTGGAGCTGAAGTTGTTTGCTTAACCGACTGAGCCATCCAGGAGCCTCATAGACAGCATATTTTTATTTTTAATTTTTTAATTTTTCAAAAAAATTTTAATGTTTTTAAATTTATTTCTGAGAGAGAGAGACAGCATGAACAGGGGAGGATCAGAGAGAGAGGGAGACACAGAATCCGAAACAGGCTCCAGGCTCTGAGCTGTCAGCACAGAGCCCAACGCGGGGCTCAAACCCACGAACCATGAGATTGTGACCTGAGCCGAAGTCGGACCCTCAACTGACTGAGCCACCCAGGCGCCCCGACAGCATATTTTTATATTAGATGTTTTGTAAATATGTTGCAGTGATTCATAGAATCCTGATTCTATACTTTTATCAGAAATCTCGCCTATTTTTATATCAGAACACATAGGGTGTCTGATGGGGAAAAAAAGAGGCAGAAACTAAGTCCTAGAGTTCTGGATAAGGGATGTAGATCTGAGTTTGAAAATTCATCATTGCAGTCCCAGGTGTCTCTCTCCTTACCCTCTGCCTCAGTCAGTCCCCTGACCTCCATAGCTGTGGTTGGTGACACGGATTCATTTCCTACCACAGCCGCTTTTTTCCTGCTCATTTTTCTTACT